CAGAGGAAAGATGTGACCTAACTTAAACTTTAAGAGATTAAACATTATTGAGAAAGTACTGGAAAGGTAATGATGGGAACAGGGAGAAGAGTTAAGGAGGAGTATTGCAAATATTCAGGTTCTATCCATAGAGTGGTAGTGAAGGAGTGAGAGATAATCATATTCTGGAAATATTTTGCATAGCCAATACAATTTCTTGTATGTGGAGTAAGGCATAAGGAAAGGAGCCAAGGGTGACTGTAAAGTTTGTTGCTTGAATGCCATGGTTGCTATCATCTGATCATCTGAGATAGAGATGAGTACAAGCATGGTGTCAAGTTGGAAGGTGAATTTGGCTTTGGACACGTTAAGTTGAAGATCTATGAGATGTACAAATGGAGATGTCAGGTAGGCAATTGGACATGAGTCAGAAGAGAACACAGAAACTGAGATACATGAGCACCCAAGACCTGAGGTGTTTAAAGTGATAGAACTGAATGACATCACTTGGGAATAGGTATAACATTAATAAGATAACGAGAAGAGGAGGAAGGTCTAGAAAAGGAGACTGAGAAGAGGCAGCCAAAGAGAAACAAATCCAAGAAGATGTGGGTCTTAGAAGCAACATCTTGAAAAAAGTCACCTTGCTCTGTATTAGTCATTTTCTCATAACTGATAAAAATACCTGACACCAATCACTTAAAAAAAAAGCTTTATTTGGCTTATAGTTCCTGGGGGTCCAGTCCATGACTGACTGGCTCCAAGGTAGAAACAGCATGGTGGAAGAGCAAGGCAGAGGAAAGCTACTCCACTCATGGAAGCAGAGAGATAAGGGCAGAGCCAGGGATAAGAATATATCCCTCCAGGTCATGCTACCAGTGACCCACTTCTTGAAACCAGGCCCTACTTCCTATTAATACATTCAACTCTGAATTTGTCAGTGGATTAATCTGCTGATGAGTAGAATGCCTCCATGATCTAATTACTTTCCCAAAGCCCTACCTCTGAACACATGAGACTAGAGGGGGAGCATTTTGTATCTAAACCATAATATGCTGTAAGTTTGGATTTTAATAGGTGAAGGGCTTTGCTCCCTGCACTTGAGTGCTCTGCTGACAGTAACTCTACCAGAGGTTCCAATGCATTGTCATCCTTCACTGTGCTGTCACCATAGGACTGATTCATGGATCAGACAACTACTCCCACCTGTGTTTAGAAATGGAGTTTCATTGCACAAAGCCACACTACACAATCTGTGTATGTATTGCCTATGGCAGCTTTACTTCACAACTGCAGAGTTAAACACTTGCAATAGAGGCTATATATTCTATAAACCCTAAACTATTCATTACTTGATCCTTTATATAATAGTTTTGTGACCCTGAGACTAACTTAACTGGTATTCAATGTCATTAAACATATACTTCTGGAATATTTAGGTCTTGACCTTATATATAGAAAAATAATCAGAAAGTTACCAGATATCACTCTTGCATTATTCTACCTCTTCAAATGAAGCAAATCACTACCATTATCTTATTTTACAGGTGATAAGACCAAGACACAGGGAAGTTGAATCACTTGTCTGAGGACACTCAGCCAGTAGAGGAAAGGTCTGGGTTTGAAATCCATGATTTAAATGTAAAAACCCAAACTACAGCCAACACATCGATGGTTTCCAAAGAAACACAAGAACAGTTTTGTTTTGTTTTTTTGGGTACCGGGGATCAAACTCGGGTCCTTGCGCTTGTGCAGCAGGTGGTGAAACCACTGAGCTAAATCCTTGGCATGCAAGGACAGTTTTGTGTAGACACGGGTATGGATTTTCAAAAATTCTAATAGTTTTATTTTATTTGTATGGACATTAGGTACGACTGGCACCTCAGATGTGATTACTATTTTAGACACAGTTAAAGTAGGCTATTTAATTTGAAACAGTAAGTTTCTTTAAATAAAATAATTAATTAAAAAGAGGCAAGACAAAAGTCATGGTGATGATGTTATTAGCTGAATTACATCCCCTCCCAAGTCCATCTGTTGAAGCCCTGATTCCCAGCACCTCAGCATGTAAGTGCATTCAGAGACTGTCTCATTAGAGACAGATAAGTTAGAAGAAGATATTAAGGATATCCTGGCTTTCAAGTTAGGTAAATAAAGTTCTGGTTTTTAAGCATCCCACTCTGGGGTATTTTGTTATGGCAGCTTGAGCAAACTAATATAGCTGATAGCTAGATCACTGAAGTTCTGGAGATGCTTCATTTGTCTGAACCATCGTCTTTCAATATTTGACTTGAAAATTAATATAAGCAATAGATATTTTGTGTCAGTTCCTCCCTTTTCCAATTCTGTGTGTTCATTATTGCATTCATTAAAAAACTATCAAGGGTCTATTTTGTGAGATTCTGGCAGACAAAGTGTAGAGATACATTCAAGCTGCTGAGAGTCTGGTTGGGGAGAGGAGACAAGGGTGTTATCAGAACCTGGTCTGAGAAGAGCCCCTGCAGGTGTCTGACCTCAGGTCAGGAAGATCCCACTGGGGACTGTGGCAGCGACAAGGAAACATTAGCCAGGTAAAAAGGGGAAGTGCTTTCCAGGCAAGAGAGATGTCACTGCCAAGCATCTGCCTTTGGCCTGAAGATTTGGTTCTGCAGGAATGCTGCCCTACCATGGTGGAGGCAGATCCACCAGCACACAAAGGCTGGGGTTAGTCTTGATATCCTGGATCCTAGGTATATTCCTCAAGCTGTTCTTGCCCTTGACTCTACCCTGCTTGCCCAATGAATGCAACAAGTCTCAGTTCTTGATGTACCCTTCACTGGGGCTGGATCTCATTCCCTGCCTGCCTTAGCCTTGACCTGGACTTCTAAGCTCTGGCCGAGTTGTATTATTACACCTGCCTGACTCTAAACACAGCCAGTGTCTTGAACCTTCTTTTGCAGTAGATAAAACACAAGAGTCTCTCCATTTACAGAGCACTTACCTAAGGAAAGCCTTGATACTAAGCTTATATGCATTATCTCCCTTCATTCTTAGAACACTATCCCATATAATTATCACTTCCATATGGCACTACAGAATGCTGACTCTAAAGAGCTCAAGAAATTACTTGAGACCACAATAGTAGGGTTCATGCTCAAATATTTTAATGCTAAGACCTGTGTGTTTAACCATTGTGCTACACAAAGAATCCACAAAACCAGTGAAACCAGGTGATGGGAATTTGGGATGGTGAGGAGCAGTTTCAGAGTGGGTGGAAGCCATATCCTTCTCCATTCCTGCTTTCCTTTCCAATATGCCTACAGAGCTCCCAGAATGCCTCTCTACCTACCCTGAATGGATAATGGGCACACAATCAGGGAAAGGGAGCTGGCTGAGGACAAGGAAGCAAGAAAGGGTCCAGATGAGGACCTCAGGGGAGGGAGGAATGCTCTGAATTCTAACTCTGTTATGAGTTGGGGCTGATGACTTGTATAATCAGCTTATTTTTCTATCTTTGCAAGTCCTTCAATGTTTTAAGTCCCAGGTTCAGAAATCCTGGCTTTCAAGTCAGGTAAGAAATCTTGAAATGTTCAATGTTTTGTGAAGATGCTGGGTCTTCCCCAAAAGAGTCATCCTACCAAGGAGAGCAGTTTCCCCTTAGCTCCTAAGGTCTCGGAGGTAGGCATGGAGTAGGAATTGGGGACCCTCTTAAGAAAAAAAGGAACACAGTCAAAGGGACAGCTTCGCCCCCAGCTGCTGGCTCCATCTCAGGCATCTCCAACCTCAGGGCAAAATACTCCACTCTTGCCCTACATGAGGCCATTCCTAAGCCATGGCAGCCTCAAAGAGGGACCACAATGGGTCCCAGTGTGGCTGAAGCCAGTAGACGAGGGAGCCCCACACTGATAGGAGATGTAATTGAGCTCTTAGGGAGGGTGGAGCTGTTGTGGGCTGCCAAGGCATAATGCATAAGCCCTGTGGGTGGCATAATGTGGAATTCATCATCCCCACTCTGCAGAGAGGGGACAGGCGGAACAATCCAGACTCTGTCAGCAGGCTCCTCTGGAGAGTTCAGGCCATACTAACGAAGATGAATAAGAGGGAGATCTGTTCCTCATGGCTGCTGCCTCTGCCACTCAGAGCTAAGGCATCCATATTCATGAGGTGGAAGGACAGCTCCCAGGGGCAACCCATCTGACACAGACATGATGGAGCAGAGGTACAGCAGTGCTGATCCACATTTAGGGTGGGTTATGGGGTGAAAATATTCTGGGCAGTGAATTAGGGGACTCTAGGAAATACCCTTAATTACACGGAATTTCTAAGGGGGAAACCTTCCTTTGTCTGCTGCAGAATTACGATCCTTGATCTGAACTCAGGGACCCCTGATGAACTTACTTAGTTCTCAGCTAAGTTCCAGAACCAAGCCCAAATGTACTACTTCCTGATCATTTTCAGCCAACAATAATTCTGACATGCTATCCATTCTTGGCTTGGCATCTTGGGATACACTGGAGGGTCCACAAAGAGTTGTGGATACACATGAAGGCTCAGAGCACAGCTTGTATCATCTCATCTCACCATAGACTCTGTTTCCTAAATCTTCATCCACCTGGCCTTTCCATGACACTCTATTAATTAGGCTTTTTTGGGAATAAATCTTTGCCCATCACAGACCTCCAGGATCCAGAAAGATGACTTTGGTAGGACATTATACTCTGTGCAGGGAAATTTGGACCAGCTTTGGCAAATGTACCATGTTTCTTCAAAAGGGAGTAAATGTTGGCCCTGAATGCATATACATCATCATTTTGAAGCTAGTGGATTTGTTCTAGACTCATGGATATTTTTCTCTTTCAAATGTCTCAGGCCTTGTTATAGCACACCCAGCTCCAGTCCCCAGGCAGCGTAACTGAAAGGATACACACTGAGCCAAATAAATCAAATCACCTCTCTGGAGCTGCCCTCCTGTAGTCTCTATGGAGCCACAGGCTAGTATTTAGTTGCAAGACAAATACCTAGCAGAGCTCAGAGAGCCTTACCTGCCTTTCTGACATGATGTACAGTTGTTCGTGGTCCTTGGAGAAGGCCATGTCCCTAAGGACTGGACCAGGATCTACTACCTGCACAGTCTCGTATTGGAGGGCGTTGCCCCTGGGCCCATCCACTCGGATCTGCAGAGAAGAGGAAGGAGAAAGTCATTGTGAGTTTAAATCCTACACTGCTTACAGCCACAGCCCAACTTCAGGCCAGAGTCCTTCCCAACAGTCAGGAGAAGCAGTGAGCTTTGTACCCACTGAGCCCCGGAGGCCAAGGCAAAGGGGTGGAAGGGACACAAGCTCACCATGGCCTCCTCATTAGAATGGTACAGAGAAGAGGAAGAGAAAGACCAAGCTGGGCATCAGCAAGAACATGCATTTATTTTCTCTGGCTCCTTATGCCTGAGGCTCAGATCTTTGCATTCTTGCTGGTTTGGGGACAAAATGATGAGACTGGTACAAGGAAAGGGGTCTTGGGATTTGCATGAACAGCAGCGCATTGGGAACACAGCAGATCAGTATCATTCTGCAACTGAAGGGCAATATTAGTTGCTATGTTTGTGTGTATAAGACAATTTTGGTGTAAGGTTGTGGGCTAATTCTTTGAAACTGCTATCCAGATATCACTGGTGTACTTTGGAGAGGCACTGGGCAAAGAGTCAATCCCAGAAATTTCACATCAAGTGGTCTCTTTTCAGCCAGTGAAGCCACTGGGTTATACTTCATGTTTTAGCATAGATATTAAGCCCTGAAGCCTTCTGGAAGTTCTGTTCATGTCCACAGAGAAGCAGATGTAAGCATTACAGGAAAATACGCTTCTGGTATGAGTCATCTTCAATCTTCCAAGAACACTTAGGGGAGCAGATCATCCTTGGGCCATTCATAAGTCCTTCCTAGAACTGCTTGGACAGAGTGGAGACAACTAGAAGAGACTTTTGTCCACACAACCCATCACCTAGAACAGAGCTGGAAAAGACAGGGGCTTCCCAACCAGATACAATGCTTATCTGGACCTGGAGTGTTGGTTCAGGCCTCTAGAATCATCATGAACTTGTGTGCACAGATCCAACACAAGCAGTACTCAAAACTAATAACACCACCCACATAAGCTGGGAACAAACATTACTGAGAATGTGAACAGATGTGAGGTAGAAGATTGCTGAACTCAATCAGATGCCGCTGGTACAGGACTCTGTAAGGTAACCTTGGTATAATTTTAGAGGTTTCAATAACAAAAGTAAAGAAAACATTATATTCCAAATATTCCCATTATGTACTCTCATTTTTAATTTTTAACCTCTCAAGAGATCGAAGAGAATAAAATAAATATTCAGAAGACCTAAATTACAGAGAGGACATCATGTTGATGACAACTGATCACGAGGTCACCAAAAAGTCTGATGGCTGGTGTTGTGTTAAGTTCATCAGACTTTGAAACCAGGATATTTTATGGTTTATGTGTTTGATTTTAGGCTTGTTCCAGGCTTTGGTTGCTTTTTCTTTTTGTTTGTTGTTTTTCTCCCCTCTTAAACATTATTTTTAAGCTTCCTAGGTATCAGATGCTGGTTGATAGCTCTACACATAATTCTTATCATTAAATCCTCTTAATGCCATGGCCTTAGTGTTCATTTGTCATGGCTTGTGTGATCCCTCCCTCCAGCATCCATTCCTCCATTTTTTACCTTCTGGGTGGGACTGAACCCACTCTGCTTCCTAGGGTTGTTCTTGATGAGCACACACAAATCAGTTTAATCTCAGTCTTTTGTCACAGTGATCAAGAGAAAATTGGGTCAACTTCATCAATAGTTTAGGTCAGAGCAAAACAAGGACACATGACAAGGGGAAGAAAGGATCTCTCCTCACCCCCAGTAGGGTCACAGAAGCATGCCCATGACTTAAATAACTGTTGGCAGCCCTCTTGTGAAACAAAGGGGAGCTGGCAACAGGGGAGGTCGAGCCCAGAGATGTGAAATGATTGGTCCTTGGCATCTTCATCAAGCCACTGAATCCAAATCACCACAAACCCTGCCAAGATTGGAGCTTTCCAGTTACTCAAGATATTTCCTTATTGTTAAAGCAATGTAAATCTTACTGCCACATCAAATGTCAAAACTGACACACTGATAATAGATAAGGAAAATAAGACCCAAGTACACTAAACAGCTGGCCCGAGCTAAAAATTCATGAGGCAGAAAGAATTCAGGTTTGACTACAAAGACTTTGTTCACTTAAGAAGTCTTTTTCCTGAGGGGATAGGAGGTTCCAAGTTTACTCCCTGACTGGTGCCACCAAAAGGATGCTGGCTGAGGCTTAAAAATAATTCCAGAGACTTTCTCTAGTCATTGCAGATGTTGATGCTCAAAAACTTGTGCTTGATAAATATTATTAAAATGAACAAAGAAACAAATAAAGACTCCTCCTTGCTGTTTTCTTACTCATCTTGAAAACAACAATAATAACAAAAACAGATGAAATGATTAAAAAGAGAGATGTATAATCCTGCAAATTAAAATGCCTTGATTCCCACGGTCCTCCTTCTGTGCCCACCCCCAAGTCACCAGATGTCCACTCTGGACAGGCCTTTTCTTAATCTGAATGAAATGGGAGCTCATGCAAAACCAATTGAGATTACCATCCAAGTCTGACCATGCAGCAATAGCCTTGGGTCCAGGCCCAGGCAGGCTTCATCTGCAGCTGGGAGGTGCCCTGGAGTGGGAGCAAAGAGAGATACTGAGCCCTGGCTGGCCTCCAGCCAGCTCAGGCCACTAGCAGGAACAGGCTCCCATGGGGAATGGTGACAGAACTAAGTCCCATCCAATGGCCTTGGTGGGATCCCCAAAGGAAATTAGATTCAGTGCCCTAGTGGTCTTCTTTATCATTTAACTCCAAATTCCCTGGTTCTCAGAATGAGGTGAATGTACTGGATGTAGTGGACATCAAAGGTGACCTGGGGCAAGGACAGAGGGCTGGGTGAGGGAAAAAGGAGACACCAATGGGAACATTTTTTTTAGGCCTAGCCTTCTCTATCTCCCCACCTTCTGCCCTCTGCTAGAATGGGAGGGCACTTGAAAAAGCATTTCTCCCTCACCCCATCCCAATCCACAGCTTTCCATAAATCAGAAAGGAAAGCACTAATTTATCTATCTCCTAAAAGACTCTCACATAAGACATTGCTAAATGAAGTTTATGGTGGAAACTTCTGAATGCTTGATGGACAATCCTAAAGTTTAGGTAGGATAGACTAGCCCTTAGGCCTTTACATAGACAAATAACAAGAACTGCTCTTTATTGGATGGCTACTATGTGTTAGACATTTGTATCTCATAACTCCATAAAGTGAGCATTAATACTGTCCCCAAGAGGTACAAGAGAGAGAGTTGTAACTTGTTCAAGGTTCAACTTCTAATGAATGGTGTGCCCTAGATCCACACCGAGGTCTGTTTGATTCCAGTGTCCACACTTCCATGGGCTTACCTGCTAAGCCAAATGCTCTCTGAGAACCAGGTCCTCTTTGTTATGTAAACTTGCATCCTTCCATGGAGTTCAAGCAGTTAATGTTAAACAAACATCACCCTGGGTGCAGTGAAGGAACCATGTCTTTATCCACCCCAGCTCTTTGGGGAGAGGAATGTGCATATAAACGAAGATGCTGTTGCAAATTTTCAAAATAGTGAGCCCTTATGTTTTTGTTTTATGCCTTGCAAAGCATTCTTAAATAACACTGTCTCATCTGATGGTTGTCAAATTTTTGTAATGCTAACTGCCAGCATAATCATTCTCATTGTATTGATGAAGCAACTGAGGTGGGAGCTGTTCTGAGTCTTGCCCAAAGTTCAGTGGTAAACCAATGTCAGGCCAGACTAGAACCCAGCTCTCCCGATTGCTGGCTAAGCACTTGCCTCTTAGTTATTTAAATTTTCTAAATGTCTTTGAAGAGGTTCTATATGAAAAGGTATTTAAAATAATGAGTCTCCATGGGACAGGCAGCTTGGCCAAGGTGAGAAACCTGATGTGGAGACAGGAAGAAACATGTTTCTGTGTGAAGTAGAATTGAGAACCACCTGAGCACAAGTGTCATAACTAGACTTATTAATACTCTTTATAAATGATCCAGAGGAAGTAGCAGGAAAATTTGCAGGTCATTCTTAATTTTGGGGATAGTAAGAAGCCCAACAATGGAGGTGAACCACAGAAAGACGTTCTATCTCTGTGGGGCTGACAATGGGGACGGAGTTGTCATAGGAGCAGAGCTCTGGGACTGTAAGTCTCTTGGGGTAGTGATCATACCCATCGTATTCCTCCTAGTCCCCAAGACATGGTCAGTACTAAGTAGCTTGTGAGTAAACAAAAAACTAACAATTCTACCACTCTGATGACAGGCTCTGAGCAGCTAGATGTGATCAAGGTAAGAGGCAGGATCAAGGAAGAAGATCTCAATATCACCAGTTTTTACTTCCAGTATTTCAGGGCAGCCAACAAAATGTTAGCCTGCATTCCAATGGGATTTCAAAAGCAAATGGACCAACAGAGCCATTGTCCTATGCAAGGTCATTTGAACATGGAATATCACATTTACTCGAAGCTCATAAGACAGAAACATAATCCTGATGCTTGTAACTCCAGAAGAGCCCAGGCCAGAAAGAAACAGTTGAGCGGAAGGAAACCATTGTTAGTGGGTGTGTCAATCATGAATGTAGAGGCCACTCCAAGGAGTGTGAAGAAGCAGCTTATACAAATAAGATTTGTTAGTTTGCATGGTCTATATGACACTAGTGGATCACCTAAGTGGTGAGAAAGGATCAAAATAAAAACTGATTTTTTTTTTAAAGGTAGAAACTGTAAAGAGACCATTTGTGGTCACGAATGTAAATTGGGCTATTTGGAAGGTGTTGTAAATTTCCAGAGCTGACACCAAGGAGTCACACCCCAACATCCTGGAAGGAGTGATATACCTCATGCTCATTTGTCACCTGCCACGTGTTTGTTAAATGCTTGCTGTTTCTAGGCTCACAGTTAGTTTCTGGAGAGGAAAAGTGGGGAGTTCTAGCCCTGCCTGTGGGTGGCCCAGCTCCTGAGGGCTCAGATTTCACACCATTAAAGCCAAGTGGCAAATATTATGGCAGAATGTGTTCAAA